CCCCCCCCGCGGGAATACCCACGCCATTCAGCCTTCCTTCTGCCTTGTGGGCTAAACACCCATCCATTCACATGCACGTTGAACCCGGTACACGCTGTCAATAACGGCACGATGGAGGGATCCGCCAGCATCATGAACATGCGGACCCGTCAAAGGGCCCATACTCAAGGTCCTCGACTGCCGTGACGGTCATTAGGTCCGGCGCCTTGTCCAAATCAATGGTCCGCCGGAGTATATATAAAAAAAACAAAAACAAAAACCGGCACTAGAATAAACTATCTAAAAAACGTCACCACCAATCAGGTGCCGCTACTAACAAAACTGAGGGGGGGTAGCCCCACGGCCCTTAACCCTATCGCCTTCCTCCTTGATGCTCCGCTGCCGCCGCGTCGATGCTCGCCGACCTCGATCCCCGAACCTTCGTAGTGTCAGTCCAATGTCGTAACCTATAGGGCTGAGCCCAAGCCTGAGACCCATGTCCGCAGAGTACCATACAAGACGGTGGGGCGCAGCGCTTTGGGCCAACAAACCGGCTGCGCGGCTCCCAGTGCCCGCGCCGGCTTGCTTATACCATGCCATAATTGCCCCGCGCGCCATCCTACGGCATCTTGCTTTCTGCACGAAATCGCACCATTATTGCCGATGCCGTCGTCGGGGTCGTTCTCCGCACGCGCGCTCGACTCGGTTTAATAAAACAATCAAAAGAAAATATCCTTAATTCCTGCTTAATCAAAAGTAAATAATAATATCACTAAGCAAAACAACCAAGGTCCTGGCCGACTTTACGATCAACAACAGAAAAGAATCACACGCGCCTTAAACCTGCGCGCCCACGCACTCGCTATTGTGGTCAACCACCTAGTCAACACAATTACAAACGCAACCGCGCTTCGCGCGGTATACTTAAACTTTAAACCAAACAATTTTCTGTTAATTGCAAAAACCCAGGGCGGATACCCTTGTAAGGGTATTCGCACCGACAGCTTACCGGACCATATTAAGCGACGTCCCCGTCGCTTCGCCAAATCAGAAGACTATAAATCCATCCACACTCCAAATTCTGACGAGACAGGAGCCAATCCGATTAGCCGACAAACACAGGGTAGAGGCCTCCATCAAACCATGCCTTCATAACTATATGATGCCAGGTTTCTAACCTGGGCCTCACACCGTCCAGAAATTAGGACACTGGCAGCATAAGTTCCTAAAACCTTCCCAATCGTCCTCTCCCCGGTCCTAGACAACCTTCGGCTTTTCGTTGGGTGCCCCCAGTCCTGACAAAACTAGGGACGCGGGCCTTAATCGAGACCTTTTGAAGACACTTTCGCCTTCCTTCTCAAAATTTTCTCGCAATCAAATACAAGCAAGTATATATGTATACTTAATATTCGTTCAACTCTTTCTGCAGTCTAGTACAGAAAGGCTAGGTCTCCACCTTGGCCCACCATAGCCTGGCTGATCGGACCAGGACCACGACCCACCGCATTGTTATTTAACGGCAGTACCTTCGTTGGTTACGCAACGATAAGTTTCCTCCTGGTAAGCACTCAATCAGGATCTCCCCCCAAAATTTTTCAACCATCATTATCCCGCGGAGTAATTTCACTGGGGCGGGCACCCCCCCCCTTAAACTCTTGCCCCGCGGTCCCGCAGCCAGGTTGCGCCGACTAGCAGCCATCCAATGGGGTTACGCCCTAGAGGTACTAACTTCTTTTCCGTTAGCTTGGCCTTTCTTTAATATGTCCCAGAACTAGCACAGGTGGTTAGACGGGGCGTCGCGAAACAAAATCACAGGCCCACTGCGCGATACGCAAGGGTCCGAAAACATTTACCAGCCCTCCTTCAATAGGCATGGCATCCTTCACACGCTTGCAAGCAAAATCACCGCTAAATCCACCAGGCCGTGACCCCTGACTTGATCAGAGCCAGCAGCCACCCACCCTGAGACATCTCTCGCCCTATACTCATTGCGACTTCTCAAACATTTCAAACAAAAAGTGGCCCTTTCCGTTAGACTTTATCGCCCATCAAACAATTCGTCATGCCATAAATCAATTTACTCACTTCTGAGGATGAGTCTTCCAACAAAAAACCACTCCCCTTTTCCAACAATCCAAAAAGAGGCTCTCTTCATAAACAAAACATCCCCTCTTCCAAAAATCGCAWGGGGTCTCGCCATAAAACAATACATTCCCTCTTCCAGAAATCACGAGGGTCTCATCATAGGCCAAACACCCCCTCTCTCAAAGTCACGAGGGTTTTTTTTACATCACAAAACATCATAAAACATCCCCCATTTTCCGAAATCTAAGGGGGTCCTGTCATAAAACAGAACATCACTGAGAGACCATCTTATGGGTCCTCATCACAACTTAGATAGCTTTCACAGACGGATTGCACTTCCTCCCCTTATACTCTGCCTCATCAGCTGCCGTAGGCAGGTCGCACAAGTATATCGAGGAGTAGACAGTATTACTTACAATCATATTCACAATACCCAAGATACATAAAAGGTTTTTCACACATTGTCCACACAAACTCATCATACATCAGAGTACAACCACACATGTGAAAGAGACAAGTGATCGTCAAATATAAGAATGGTCCCTGAAGGAAACCTCACCATAATATACACTCAGGTAGTACAATGTCTCACACAGAAAGTGTCTCCAAATCATAGCTTGCTCAACTCAAGCCACACCAAACCCATACTGACAACTACCCCTAGGATACATGTCAGATCTGTCTCTCAAAACCTGTGCGTAAGCCACCTAAATATGTACATGCCTCATCTAAATCACCCTGATCCTCAAGACCCCAGCTCAGTAGGAACACTAGAGTTCAGATCTAGACTAGTAGCAATCATCAAAAAGGTCCTCTAAGTCTAAGAGTGTATCACACAGACCCTAAGCTGATGCCTCACAAGATACTCCCACTTACATAGACAAACCGGCACTATCTCCTCAACTCCTCCTGGTTTTGCCTATATAACTCAGCCCTAAGTCCATCTGCGGACTTCTCTACTATCCTACACTGTCTATCATACATCTTACTCCCTACCTCTGAGATCTTCCCTGCTGCCTTATCCTCAAGAAACTCGAGACAGTCCAAAGCCAGATGCACGTCCCTCTTGCAGTAAAAACATAGCTGATCTACCTTTCTCTTGAACTTCTTCTTCCTGGGCTGAGGAGGTGGCGATGAAGGAGATCCCACCAAGGTACCGACACCCCCCTGCTACTCTGATCGAGGAGCTACGGTACTAACGACTTCCTGCTGCTCTGTCCCCGGAACCAGTCCACCAGACCCAGATCTAGTAGCCCAAGATCCTAGTCTGTTTCTCAAATCCTCTGTCGCTGGGACGTACTCGGGCGTGTCCAACCTCTGAGGCCTCCTCTCGAGTGTCGCCTCTGGCACTGCCGTGGGCTGCTCCTCAATCTCCTCTGGTCCATACTCAAGAGTGCCTATCCTCTGGAGTCTGCCCTCGATGGCACCCTCCTCCTCAATCCCCATCTCTCTCTCAAGAGGCTCCTCTATCCTCTGCTCAGGTGAAAACAAACTCACCTCCTCCTGCATAGTATGCACCGCCTCAAGGAGCACGCCCATGGATTCCTCTACTAAGCTCTGAGCCGGCTCATTGCTAGATGGTGGCAGCCCCTCCTCTACTGCCAAAGGTACGACTGGGCCCGCCGCTTCTACTGGCAGTGTCGCGAGCTCGGTAGAGACTCTAAACTCGAACGCCTCTCTCTCCGCCTGTCTCTGTGCTCTCGCCTCCTCTGACTCCAGGATAACCCTCCCCATAGGTAGCTCCTGGCGAGGCTCTGTCGCAGATGGCTGTATTGGCAATCCCTGTCCTGGCTGCCTCTGCTCTCCCTGCCGGCTGCTCTCTGGTCTGTCCACCTTTCCCGGGGTTTGCTGCCTTAGGCTCTCAATGATAGCTGCCTGGCTCACCACCAAAGCCCTAAGTTCCTGAATTTCCATCTCCATAGCCTCCAGACGTACTCCATGGCTTCCTTCATTTTCTTCCCCGCCAGATCGCCCTCTAATAACAAGTGCCGGTCAAATGTGGTCTTGGCCAGGAACTTGATTTCACAATCTAACCTTTCTTCCGCCTTCCTGGCCACCCCAAACCCGGCTTTGACTGGCGATGGAAGCTCCTCTCCTCTCTGCTCCCAGAAGTCTCTCCACATCTCAGGAATCTCCGGGGCCTTGGTTGGCGCGCTGGGTGGCTGACTCGGGAGTGCTCCTGCTGCCTCCGATCTCTGCCTCTCCTGATGCTGCTCCGGGAGCTCCTACGCTGCCTCCAACCTCTGCCTCTCCTGCCATATCTCATCTATCCGCCTGGTTCGTCTCGCCCTCTTTTCTTCAGCCGTCTCTCCAGCTGACACCCTTTCCCTCGTGCGGAGGTTGACCCTCTTTGGGATCTCTGCTTCCATCTCCTTCTCGGGCTGGCATGACTCCTAGCGTGGCTCTGCAGGCGCTGGCTCCTCCAGGTCTGGGTGCTCCAGGGCATGAGCTGCTAGGTGCCTATCAATCAGGATCAAAGCTTCTCTCCTTACAGCTGCCCTCTCTCTCCTCCTTTCTGCCCTCCCTTCTGGCGAAGGAGCCTTTTCTGACGAAGGTAAAGGGGTCTCCTCTCTCTGCAACCCCTCCTTTGCCTGCTGGGTGCTCCCTGGTGCATCCCCGAGTCTCAAACCCACTGCTGGCGTCTGTGGGGGCGTGTCCTCTCCAACCTCTATCAGTTCCTTCCCTGCACGTCTCCCCTCATCGCCCAGCCCTCTCTCTCGCTGAGTACCTTGGACCTCTTCCTGTGGCACCTCCTCCCGTGACATCTCCTCTTGTGGTATCTCCCCCTGTGGCACCTTCTCTCGTGGCACCTCCTCTCGTGACACCTCCTCTGCCTGCTCTCCATGCTCCTCACCTTGAAGCGACGCCCTCCACCGAGAAATATCTAAATGCATCTCCAATTCCCTCAAGGGCCCCTCTGACGCTGGTGGCTCCCCCTGTGTGTGTGTTGGCGACCTCCTCAATCCACCCTCAGTAAAACGATGGAACTCCACTGATCCCAACCCACACTCAGGGTATGCCCCTTGCTCCTCATCCTCCGGCTCCTTCTCTCTCCTGGCTAGGGCCTTCCGTCCTCTTCGAGATGGTCTCGCCTCCCTGGGCTTATGGTCCCTCGGCCTCTGACTTCTCTGCCGCCTCTCGACTCTGGGCTGAGGGAGCTCTGGCCGTCGAAAGGCCTCTCTCAAATGTGCCCTGCAGCTCTCCCAATCTTGTGCCATGTCCCTGATCTGCATAGCCAGTGGCCTTTCCGCCTTCCTGGTCCAGAGTGGTAGCGTCTGCATCCAATCATCTCTCGGTATGCCCTGCTCTTGCATGAACCACTCAAACGCGAGGATGAAGTCCGACGCATTTCCAATCTCCAGGCGGATCGGCCTGCCATCAGGTCCCACAGGCGAGGGTCGCAACTCCTCCATCCTCATCTCCACCTCCTGCCTCGTCGTCGCCTCCCTACGAATCCTGGCAATGGGCTCTTCGAACCTACCTGCTCCCCTCAATCTCTCAATCACCTGAGCGACGGTCCAACCCATACGCCTCGCATGCTCCCAGAAACTGTCCAGGAATAGCTCGATGTCCCCATCATTGTAGACTGGAGTAATCTCTCGATGGCGAGGCCCATGCCGCTCATATCCTCCTGATGCGCCCAACGGCCTCTGAGGCGGCCGTGTCCCCTTCCCTCCTCTTGGCATGGCTGTCTTCGTAAAGTCAGACCTGCACAACAGGCGAAGGAGACAATAGGCACACATTGGGGTAAGCAAGTAGGTGATAATCAGAGCAAGCTCAGACCAGACCACACTCATGCAGCATGCATTCTTCCTAACCTACATACCCTGTTACTTCTATTCTAAAGGCGGTCAGGTCATCTCTCTTACCTCTTCTCTCGCCACAATTTTTTTCAATCGCGTTCCAGATACCCAATCCTTCCACTTAGTCCCATTTAACTCCTCGATCTGGTACGCTCTGAAGTCTCCGACTCGTGCGATTCGGTAGGGACCTAACCATCTCTTGTCGAGCTTCCTGGACCACTGCTTCTCCAGCGATGTATCGTAGAGAAGCACGACATCCCCGGCTGCCAAGGGTACTTTCCTCACTCGCGCAGACTGATCCCATCGAGCCTTATCATCCATACGGCTTCTCRCCACCTGGTCAGATGCCTCCTGGATCCTTTCTTCTATCGCCCCAACCTGCCGCGCCCGAATATCGAGCAACTCTTCAAATGACAGGTTAACTTCCAGATCCTGGCGCCTCCATGTCTTAAGAAAACTTTTGATAGGGAAAGTGGCATGCCTTCCGTACCACAGCGTCGCAGGTGCGTACTTGGTGGATCTCTTTACTGTAATGTTCTCGACAAAGAAAGCCGCCCTTAGGTATCTTGGCCATTGATTAGGCCTACCTTCGGTCCATTTGGCCAGGAGATTCGTAATGGTAYTATGTCCTCTCTCTACGGGAGCATTTGCCTGGGGGTGCGCGACCGTGGTGTAGTTGGCGGCCACACCATACCTTGATAACAGTCATTGCACTTCCTGGCAGGTAAACTTTGATCCCCTGTCCATTACGAATTCCCTGACGAGAGGATAACGCAGGTAGTACTCCTCGATGCAGCTCACCAGGACTGACCCGGTCTTTGTGCGAATAGCACGCCCGTCTACGAACTCAGACAGGTTATCGCGCGCATCGAAGATATAGTTATAGCCTTGATCCCCAAGTGGTATAAAAAGTAGATCGAGATGCACCACAGCCCCCACATCTTGCTCTAGCCTGGGATGCAGCGGCTCTCCTTGCCTTAAACGGGATCTTTCCTGGCAAGGTACGCAAGATCGGCAGAACTTTCCGACCATATCTATCATTCCATCCCAGTAGTACAACTCACTTATCTTGGCATACGTGGCTTGTACCCCTCGATGTCCTCCTGCAATACCATCGTGAAGCGCTGCTACGACGTTGATCTGACGATTCCTACCGCAGACGACTCTCCTGGGATTCCCCTCTTCCCTTCTCACGAAAAGGTGACCGTCTCGCACTAAGTAGCGCTGCAACATCCTTTAAGCCCTATCGCTCGCATCTCTTAGCCGCATTTCACATGACAGAAGAAGCCCCAGCTCTAGGTAGATCCCATCGTACTCCTCTGTATGAAAAGCCTCCTTAATTTTCCCTTCTTCGAACTTGTCGTCCTGGCTCTCGGGTATTTCGTCCACATTCCCTGCCGGGTTCAACGAGCCTGACTGGTCTAGGTTTTCCTGCAATAACGTATTGACGAGGAGATACATTCCTCCCATCAGGTCCTCATGCCGTTCTACCAGGCCAGGTCCTTCCTCAATCGTCCTCATATCCTCCACCAGGCTATGCGAGGTGGCCAACGCCAATTCCATCATCCACTGAACATCCTTACCGCCCCAGGGATCCTCTTCTTTAAAGGGTTTGAGGACCAGCTCGGTCCTCCTTTCATATCCGCTCGGCGCTTGCCAAATAGGATAGCCTACACAGCTGGGCACTCGCGGCGACCACTTATTGATATGGAGACGAACATCTTCTTCCTGATCCAGAAATCCATCAACTGGGGGCGTATTCTCCACCGCCTCCCCTTCCTGCTTATCCCGGTTGATCCGACTCAGCCCGTCTGCCCGGTTCTTACTACCAGGAATCCGTTCTAATTCGAAATTGAACATCCAGATGTACGTCAACCATTTGGCAATCGTCGAATCCGATGGAACGTAATTCCTTAGAGAGTAGGCCAGGGCGGTCGGATCCACTCTCAAAATAAATCTCATGCCGAAGACATAGTTCCGGAAGATTCGCAGACAGTGGAGGACAGCAAGGGTCTCCCTCTTGAACTGAGAGTAGTTCCTCTCTGTCGTACTGAGAGTCCGGCTCTCAAATCACAAGGGTCTTTCCTTTCCTTCCATGTCTGCCTGTATTAGAACTCCCCCTGAGGCGGTCGATCCCACATCCGTTTCGACAATGAAGGGTCGCGTCTCTGTGGCGTTATAATCTGGCGCTCCTAACACCAACCCTCCTTCTCGGAATTCCTCTTTCATTTTTGCCACCACCTCTTCTTAATCCTCACCCCATACCCATTCCTGATCCTGACGGACTAACCTCCTCAGGTGTTCAGTCTTAGCGGCAAAGTTCTTGACGAAGGCCCTCCAAAATCCACACGTACCAAGCAAGCTCCTGACATCAGTTATTGAGTGGAACGAAACTGGCCACTCAGTAATCTTGTCCGTCTTCTTCACATCCGGCCTTCGGCCCTTCTGATTGCAGACTATCCCCAAGATAGTCGCTTCCCTCATGCAGTGTCTGGATTTGGCCCCGCTTGCCGTGAGGTTATGCTCTTCGAGCAGGCTCAGGACCTTTTCGAGGTCCTGAATGTGTTTCCAGACAAAGGGCCTTACCCCTGGTGAGACTTTGTCGCTTTCTTTCATCGCCGGCCCCTTCACTGCCAAATCGTCAATGTATGGCTGTCTGATATGGGGGCTGACTGACTGCATGGCCCGAATCATGGCCCGTGGGACCATTGCTACTGCGTTGGTCCACCCTTGTGGGGCCACGTTCATGTGGACTAATCCTCGCGGCGTGTGCATAGTTGTCACCGGCCTATCCGACGGGTAGACTGGGAACTGATCGTATCCTGAGTAAAGGTCTATAAGCGAAATTATAGGCCTTCCAGCACAGGATTCCGACAGCGCGTCTGCATTCGGCAGTCCTCCACCATCTCGCACGGTCACTGCATTCAATCTTTGCAAATCCTGCACCCACCGCAATGTCCCGTTAGGCTTAATAAAGCAGAACCACGGGGATGCATACGGTCCACTTGAATAGCCGGCGACGTGAGTACGTATCTTGCCGTCGAGATAATCCACCACCTTCCTTTCCTCGTCAGGATTGGGATATCGCGCCCCTCTCATGTTCCAAGGTTCGTGTGGCACGGTGTGGATGCAAATCATAGGTATCTTATCTACATCCAGCCTGCCACGCTCCTCGTCACTAAACGCGTAGGCGCGATGCTTCCTCTTCATTAATTCCACCATCAGCGTTCGCTCATGAGGCAGCAGAAAATCAGACTCCCCTATGATCAACTCCTTCTCGTTCCCTTCGTTGATACGACATGGCCCTGCTAAAGCACTTTCCCTCATTTGTCGAATCAACCCTCGTTCCCTCTCGCAATATGCTTCCTCGTCCTCTGTAACGAGAACGGGTACCGGGCGGCACTTCTTGTCTACCGTCTTGTACCGCCTTTGAGAACCCTGCTTGAGCCGTCCCCTAAAAAAGGCCGACTCACGGATTGTGTTTGCGCTGATGCGGGGTTCTCTCTACTGCCTGGGAGCCGATATACCAGTTCCAACCTTCCTGCCTCAGGGCATTCCAGAACTTGTTCCCTCAAGGCCTGAATGGCATTCGGATCTGCCATCTCATGCGCGGCCACCAGGTCCATGGCCTTCCCAACATCTGACAGGCTGAGGGAAAATACTTCCACCCTCTCTCCTGCTTCGGGCTCTGCCCAGAGCCTCCTGCGCTCCCCTTCCGACTCCTCGATTGTGAATGATCATGGATTGGGCCGGTTCCTTATACTCCTTGGCCCGGTATTCTTGCAAGTAATTATTTCATAATTTCCGCAGGCAGGATCGGATAAGAGGAGGATCAACGTCCCATCATGTTTGTTGAACATCACGGTCTCTGTCCTGCTTAGGAATGACCTCCCCAGGAGGATTCCAAGGTCCACGTCTGGCATTATGAAGAAACATGCCCTGGCCTTCACCCTTCCAACCTCGACGAGCACATTCAAGGCTGTCCCGCAAAACATGGCCTTACAACTGGTTCCATGCAGAATACGGCAGTCAGAACGGTCTATATCCAGCCCGAATCTGATCGCGTCCGCCTCCCGAATAATGTTCATCTCTGCCCCGGTGTCCACCATTGCTGCGCACTTGGAACCCTTCACCATCAAATCCACCATACCGCAGGCTACGCACTTCCAGTCCATCTTCGTACCTGACTCTGCCCACTCTGCCTCCTTCGGCAAGATCGTACCCAGATGGACATTAGGCACCAGGCGCCGTGATAACCTCCCCTTCAGTTCATCGCGGAGTCACGGGGCTGACGCTAGGATTTCCTTCAGGGTCATGAGGTCATTATGCCCTTCCAGCAGCCGGTCAATTACCTTCTCTACGTCAAATCCTTCTTCCAACCGGACCGCGTATTTTTTCTTTTTGGGCGGTCCGTCATGTATGACCGGTTCGGCCTCTCCCCTGGTTCCCTTTTTCCTTGCCCGCTGCTTCACTCTCTGATCCTCTTCTCTGCGCAGCCTCTCGTCCTCTTCCTCTTCATCATCGTCATCCTCTACTTCCACAACCTCTTTCCTTCTCCCTGATTCGGGTTCTATCCTCAGAGGCTCTTGGCTGGCACTGGCCTTGGCTTGATTCCTCGTTCGCGCTGCCTGTGCCAGCCGGGCCTGCTGAGTGAGGGGTCTCCCCCTCATTCCTGGTTGAGGGCACGACCCCACCAGATTTACTCCGGGTCGCCCAGGCGCTGACTCCGAGCCGGAGTCATAGAGGAATACTGTGGGGACATTAGACTTCCATCCTTTCACTCCTTCACAGAGGCCTACCAACTTCTGCTGGTACCTCCCCATCTTATCCAGCAAGTCCTCCATCTTCTCAAATAAGACGGACAGAGGCTCCATTCTTTCCTCCTCATCCTCGTCATCTGACTCGATGATTATGGCCTCTTCCGTCTCACTTCCTCCTCGCAGCCCTTGAGTCACTTCCTTATTGCTCCCCACTTCGTCGACCCCAAACGGTGGTTTCTCCTTTTCCTGCCATAGCCTGAACATGGCAGGGGGTGGTGGCCCAGCTGCCGCTCTTCGTTGGGCTTCAGCCCTCACTCTTCCAAGCCTTCTGTCAATGGCCTCCCCAAACTGATCGTAGATATTCCCATCCATAGTAGAGGAAATCAGTCCGCTTCTCTCGTCCCGTCTTATATTACAGAACCTTAGAGTGTGGCCCTGCTGGTCACAATGCTGACAGATGGCCGTCCTCCAGTCAAAGCGGGGTCTTCTATACCCTTGACTTCCCTGATCCCCCCGGCCTTGATAGCCCTGGCCTTGGTACCCCTGGCCTTGACTCCCTTGGCCTTGGTACCCCTGACCTTGACTCCCTTGGCCTTGGTACCCCTGGCCTTGGCCATTCCATTGCCTTCCTCTTCCGCCGTCATTTCTGCCTCGCCCCTTTCCTCCACCCCTCCCTTCACTGCCTTGATTGCCCTGCCCCTGGTTCCCACCTCCTACAACACTGCCCTGTGAACTGGGATCAGGTGACGGTGGCGGGGCCACAGGTTGGGCCTGGGCCTGGGCCGCGGGGTAGATGGGTGGTGGCATACTCGTTTGCGGTCCAGCTACTGGCGGCGTGCTTCCCCATGGCACAATTGTGTTGATCACCGGCCAGGGCCATTGTCCATAGGAGGGCGCCCCAGCTTGCGAGGGGCCCGTAGTAGATGATGGAGCCGCCACATTTAAAGGGGCTGCTGCCTGGGCCTGATGCGCCTGCGCTTTTCCTGATCCCTGTCCGCCCTGCGCCAAATTACGCACTTTGCGCTGGACCTTCGTCAGGTGCTGCGGCACGGACTCTTCCTCTTCCCAGAGCTCCTCCTGACCAGCCTCCTCTATCAATGACTCTTTTCCTTTTACTTTAACAGCCGTCACCACCCTCCTTTGCRCCACCGGCTCTGTCGCATACCCTAGCTGTGCCAATACGTCTGTAACAATCCTTGTTACTCCTGGGGTCCCAGAAGCGGGCGCATCTCTTTCCTTTCTCTTCTGTCTTTGCAGGCGTACCTGACGTTGTTCCACCTGGTCCAAGCACCCAACTTCCACCCCTCTGTCAATGGTGGCCCAGGTGAGCTTAGTGCTACCTCCTCCATGAGTTGTCAATTCGACGGCCTCCGATGCTGTGAGTAGCCCCAGGAAGATGGCGCATTGTGCTTCCTCCGAAATCCCATGGACCTTCCGTGCCCTCTTCCTTAATTCTTGAACAAAGGCCCCTATAGTCGTAAAATCCTCTTTGTTCATCGCTTCAAGGTCCGTGGTAGTTAACAACCCATCTCCCAGGCGGTATTTCCTCTACATCCCCTCCTTGAACCTCTCCCAGCTACCTTGAGCCGTATCTATGACTTTCTTCACCTCCTGATGGTAGCTGTGGAGGACATACTGAAGGATGCGTTGAAACTTTACAACATCCGGCCGCCCGACCAAAGCTTGTTCCACCCGCTCTAGCCATTCTGAGACTCTCTCCCCACAGAAATGGAAAATATCGACCTTTGGGATGTTGCTCGGGTTCCTTTCATGTCGGTCGATGGCCGCGATGAGGTCATCGAGTGTCTGACCCTTCTTGGGAACAACTGATGCGCCGCCAGTCTCAGGCATCTTGACAGTCTCTTCTTTTTAATTTCCCTGGCAAAAAAAAACAAGCACATCCCCTTTATTCAACACTATACCTTGACCGGTCTATTCCATCCTTCCTACCTAACCCTTAATACTTTTTTTACCCAATGTTACACTTAGTCATTCATATATTCCTTCATTACCTTCTCATCACTCCTTTATGCCTTTTCTTATTCACTTCTCATACCCGGATGTCGTTCCACCAGAGACAATGGTAGGCTTTCCGCTATCCCCGGCAACGGCACCACCTGTCGGGCGCATCGGTCCGGCACCGCACGGGGGCAGCGCGGGACCCTCCCGGCTGCGTCACGCAGGAGTTGGTTTTTAGAACCCTTCGTCGCAATATACATGGAGCTT